TGTATTCCTAGAAATACAATTGGCAGACTGTTCTCTTTTCTGAAAATCGTGACATTTGTTCTCCAATTTTGTGTTCTCTCTCCATTTTCCATGATCTTTTACATATCAATGACAATGGCTCATCACCCACATCTGCCAGTTCTTTGGGGACCCAAGGATTCAGTTCATCTTGGCCAAGTGACTTTAATTTATCAAGGCTAGCCAGATGTTCTCTTACAATCTTTTTATCTTTAGAATCCACTCCCTGGTTGTCATTTTTGTTCTATCATTCCTAGTTAAAGGCATTCCCTTATGAAGAGAAAACAGAACCAAAAGAAGGATTGAACAGCCCTGCCTAGTCTCTATTGACATTTCTAATCATCCCATCCCCTCCTCACCTTTTAGGCTTCCTTTTGTGAGTTGTCTTCCCCCTACCCTTAGAAAGTAAGCTCCTTGAGGGTAAGGATGGTCTTACTTTTTCATATTTATATTCCTAGAGTTTAGAACAGTACTTGGCACTAGTAGGCACTTAATAAATCTTTATTCACTGTCTGATCATCTATTCTAACAAAGGTTCTATTCCTTCTTTGATATTTCTTTTTCTCCTAATTTACTTTTTTTAAAAATCCCTTTTTATTATCCTTACCTTCACTTGCCAGCCTCAGCTCATTACAGTATTTTGCTACACTCTCATAGTTATTCTGTTAACCTAGCTTTGATTTCCATCTCCCATACATTTCTCTTAAAAAATACAAGATGTTTGGTTCCAATTGCCCTTTTTCCTTCCTGGTTTTCGTTTGTGTCTTCAGAATTTCAGTCTTGAGCAACTCCCATTTCTACTGGGCTGATTTCACCTGAAGCATTTTAGTTATGGGATCCTTTCTTCCCTGAACTCCTTGTAATCTCCTTTTCTCAAACCTCAGGTCAGGTTATAAGTCCAAATTTTCTCTTTGTCTCTGTTAGAAACTCTAGAAGGGAATAATCGCATCCCCCAAGATTTGCCATCATTTGTACATCAGATCTAGAATTGAATTTTCACTCATTGGTTTTTCTACCTTTTAAGGATAAAACTACCACTAAGGGAAGTTTAAAGGTTATTAGCTGCAAATCCAGGCCTCAGACACAGGATATTTACTATCTGTGTAACCACAAGCAACTGTGTAAGCTCGACCACCTCATCCCCCACCCCACAAAAAAAAAAGTTATTAGCTGTTCTGCTTTTGGCAGAGACACCTCCAGATTTCTGGACAATTGAAACCCCCCCCATCACTGTTATATTATGCCAAAGTTGTGATTTGTTTCACAAACTCCTTATCAATTTCTTCTTTCTTTCCAAAGATAAAATCACTTGCGTTTCTTCTTCCATTGACCTTCAATCAGATTCTCTCATGTGCCACCCTCCCCTCCACCTCCTTGTGGCTCCTGAATTTCCTTATATGACAATGTATCTTTTTTTGTTATTGTTGAGGCAATCAGGGTCAAGTAACTTGCCCAGGGTCACACAGCTAGTAAGCTTCTGAGGTGGGATTTGAACTCAAGTACTCCTGATTCCAGGGCTGATGCTCTATCCACAGTGCCACTTAGCCACCCCCATAACATTGTATCTTAAGATACAATGCTAACTTCCCCTCCTGGCGCCTGCCCTTTTTTTTTTTTAAATCATTTTTCTTTTGAATAAAGTATGTCCATCTATACTGGACCACAGTACAGTCAAGGTTTCATTCTACCAAGTCTTCCCGTATTGAGATCAAATTCTATCTCCTCTCGATTTCTCTTTCATTATGACCTCTAGTTCCTCAAGCTTATTGCCTAAACTTTGATTATTTCTGTATAAACACTTGAGGCCACGGGTGTTACTACCGGCTCCTTTCTTGGATGTTGTCTCTTGTGAATTTCTGGGTTAATGCTAAGGCATTTTTTTTTTTTTGGTGGTTCCTCTCTATAGTATTTAACTTGGGGATATATAGGCAGTCTGGGGGCCATCACCAGTCACCCTGATCTGTATCTTGACACAGGACCCAGATGGCTGTGGAGGAGAGTGTGAGGCTGGTGATTTTGCACAGCTCTCCCTCACTTAAATCCAATTCACTTGCAAGTAATGGCATCATCATCCGGATGTCCTGGTACTCTTGGAGAAGAAAGGACAAACAATAACAATAACAATAACAACATAGTCTTGTCTCTCCCTTATCTTTATTAGTTTAATGCCCATTTTGATCAGATTTGCAAGATACTTGGAAAATACATTCTTATCAGCCTTTTTAAGGTGAAGTAGGCTGTTGTCATCTATTTTAATAAGTTTTGAGGGGTTCTCTAGCATAACTTGGATAAATTCCCCAGGAAAGAAATATCCCTTTCTTGTTATTATAACTGCCTCAGAACCCCTGAGAAGAGAACCATCAGCTACTCTTCTCTTCTTCCTCTATCCTACATCCAGATCTTTCTTTCTCTTTTTTAATGAGAAAGCTGAAGTCTAAGGAGGGTAAATGATTTGCCCAAGGTCATGCATGTAACAAGTAGCAGAGCCAGGATTCAAACCGAAGCCTTCTGACTCACTTTCCAATGTACCTAATTGTCTCTTCAATTCATTGAGTCTCACCTTCTAGAGGAAGCCTTCCCGAACTCCTCTTAATTCCAGTACCTTTTCTCTTTTTAATTATTTTTCTATTTATTCTGTATATAGCTTGCTTTGTAGATATGTTTGTATATTGTCTTCCCCCATTAGATTGTAAACTCCTTGAGGGCAGGGACTGTCTTTTGCCTCTTTTTGTATCCCCAATGCTTAGCCCATATAGGCACTTCATAAATGTTGATTGATTGATTGATAGATAAATAAAAAGAGCCCCCCCCCCCATGGACTGGTCTGGAGATGAAATGTTGAAAAACAATTGCTGTAAGAGAAAAGAGTGAAATGAAAGAAGAGAATTCATAGGAACAAAAAAAGAGAAAAAATAAAGTTTATGGAGTTTTCCCTCCAGTATATATAAGAGGACAGAAATCTATAACAATGATGGAAAGAATAGAATCTTCTCTGTTACAGACATAATAGTCTTACGAAGGTAATGAGAAGTTTATGTGAAAACCTCACTCTCCCTCCCCTATCGTTCCATGCCAGGAGAAAGGATATTTCTTAACAGGTAGCAGTATGGGGAAAGCAAGCTTCTAATGAGTCTGATGCATGAGATGTTTTCTCCATTGAGCAGCTGAGGGTTCCCTTCCCTGACCTATGAAAGGAGATGGCTGACAGGATGGAGAATGTTTTCCCACCTCTGAACAGTTACAGAAGCTGTTGCTCTGTCCCCCTTTTGGAAACTATATTTTTTTCTGCCAATTGGTGAGGGAACAGTTATTGCCCTTCCCTGGAGAGAAATGGAACTCCAGGGAAGGTTTTTTTGGCCATGAGGAGAAAGAACCAGCAGGCAAATTTTGCTGTGCTGCTGGACAACAAGCCCTCGGGAGCAAGAGCCTGTTAGGATTAGTTAGATTGATGACATAGAACTGTTGTTGACTGTACTGAAGAGACAGGATCCTCAGAGAGGAACAAGCTGAGGGTCTCCAGGGACAAGTAGGCAAGCACATTAAGAAAGTTGTCATTAAACTGAGGCTCTAATATCCAAGTGCTTAGATTGTGAGCAAGTGGGCTTCAACTAAGTTTTGGGGAGAAGAGACACTAAGGCTTGGAGATAGGAGAGCTCCCTGAAAAAAGAAGGGGTTGTAAACATTATCTCTCGTTGTTATTACTTAGTTATTTAATAAACCTGTTCTTTGTTAAGGTTGTGTTACCCTGACTGCTTCCAGAGGCAGAAGAGATGGCTTGGAGAGTGGTGTGCTTTGAAAAACAGGAGCCAAATTTCTCATGTTCCCAGGGGTTACCCAAGATGGGGGCTAAGTATTATAGATTGTTATTGTTGAGACGCCCCAAAGATTGAATTGGTCATTATAAGCCCGGAGCTGAGATTCTGAACCATAAATTACAAGGATTAGGGCATAAATGAAAAGGAGTGCAACACGTGATTTCAATCGAGCTCCATCTCATGTACTGGATGTGACTCGGGCCAAGCTTTTGTCGTAGTTTTTTTAAATCGAGGTAAAATGATTTACCTCCTTTAGCCATTGTGAAGGAGAAAAATGTTTCCAAGGTACCCTGAACTAGTCGCAAGAAACGTGCCCTATGACAACCTAGTCGTACTTTTATTATTGAACCCTTGCGTTGGAATGACTCATCTCTTGCTTGGGACAAAGAAGCTCAGGTAATTGGAAATATTGTACACTGGATAGGCAGAGACAAAAAGAGGCAATCATTGTGGTGTTGGGAAAGAAGCAGAGTCCTTTAAAAAAAAAGTATACCAGGTAAGGGGCTTTAAGGGAAGACAAGGAGGAACTTGTCTTCTAAGTCTCAAGACTACGCATCTTTTCATAGATTCAGTTGCTAACCTAGCTTTTGATTGTCTGGCACAGACATACAAAGCTTTCTTAGCTTTAAAAAAAAAACAAAAAAAAACCGAAAAAGCTATACTTAACCAACAAAAATCCTTGGCCTTTCAATAACTGTTAATGTCATCTGGCTCTTGAAAGAGGTGTTTCGGGGGTTGCTTTTAAATAGCAAAGCATCGGGCACCGTGGGCTTGCTTTCTCTCCAAACACCAGGGCTAGGAAGCCGAAGTGCAGACTCTGGGACCCGGGATCCAGGCTGGAGCTTTTTTTTTCCCTTTCCCCCAATAGAACCCGGAACATTCCGAGTGGGAGGGAAGAGGTGTGGACAAGCTGGGGGCGCGGCTGCCGGGCTTGCGCCCCTCCCCCGGAAAGGGCCGGGGGGTGGGTGGGCAGAAGGCCCCGGCGCTAGACGGGAGACGTCAGGGGGCGGTGACTGGCCGGAGCCCCGAGTCCGGGCTCCGCCGCCGCCGCCGCAGCTCAGCCCCAGCTGGAGCGCCGGCCCCGCTCCCGGGCGCGGTGCTGGAGGAGGAGGAGCGGGAGGGGGCGGCGTGCCGGGGGCGCGCCTCGTGGCCGTGCTCGCTCCCTCTGGGTCTCCCTCCCCTCCCTTCCCTTCCTTCCCTCTCTGCCTGTGCTACGGGCCGCAGGAGAAGGAGGCGGCGGCAGCTCGAGATCAGACATGGCGGCGGATCTGAACCTGGAGTGGATCTGCTCCTTGCCCCCGACCTGGACTTACGGGATCACCAAAGGCGGCCGCGTGTTTTTCATCAAGTAAAGAACCTGGGAAGGCTGGAGGAGGCGGGGGGAAGGGGAGGCACGGGTGGAGAAAGGGAGGCGGCTGGAGAGGAAGAGGAGGCAAGGACAGGAGGGGGGAGACAGGAGAACGAGCGCCCCCACCCCCCCGCAGCGAGCGCCCCTCCCCCCCACTGCCCCCCTCACTTTCCCGTCTGTCTCCCTTCCTGCAGCGAGGAGGCGAAGAGCACCACCTGGCTGCACCCCGTCACGGGAGAGGCCGTGGTCACCGGTCATCGGAGGCAGAGCCCAGGTAACCGCTCAGTCCTGACCCCCCCTTTCCCAGCCCAGGCTGCGTGTGCGTGTGTGTGTGTGTGCGTGCGTGTGTGTGTGTGTGTGTGTGTGTGTATGCACATGTCTCCTCTTCTCGTCCTGCGCTTCCCAGGAAACTGTACCCCAATCTTTTTCCCGTCCCCGCCTGGGGCTTATTAAGCCACCTGCACGGGAGCTGCGGCCACTCCCCCACAGGGAGGCGAGGTCTGGTGAGGACCCCCACCCCCATACAGTTAGAGGAGCAACCCAGGAGGTGCCCCGAACTTGGTTCGTGCTCCTCTTGGCCCGGCGCCACCCGATTATCTGTCCATTCATAGGATCTGAAACCCCTTAAGCATCGCCCCCCTCCTCCCCCAACACATACACATACACTCTCTGTCTCTCTCTCACCCTCTCACTGTCACCCCCACCCTCACCTCTTGTCAATGCTCGGAAATGATATCCTCCTTTAGACCTTTCCCCATGCCTGCCAGGACCCCTGCCTCCCACCCCACCTTAGTGCCCAGCATCCCTCTCGGAGCAAGAATAGTTCCGAAGCTCCATTTAACCTAGAACCCTGACCCTGCATCTTGCAGACAACTACCCGTACTCGTTGAGTCCCCTGTCTTCTCGGGTCTTTCTCACTCATGCTCAGACCAACATTTTAGTAAGTCCTGTCTGTGACCCTTAACGGAGGTAATGGTTTCATACTCCCTGCTTCCCATGCTGTTATGCTCTCTGCTCTGTAAAGGTGGGATTTATGTATAGGTGATTGCAGATGAGGGGGAGGAGAGGAATTGGGGGAGGTTGTGCTTTTTTCTGCGACAGAATAGCTGAAAAAAGCTTGCCCATTTCTCTCCTACCTCTGCTGTTGCCGCCTCCTCCTCCCAGGAGTGAGCCTCTGGAGCTGGAGGAGGATTTTTGCGAGCTGAAGATGCTGGAGATCTAGATTGAAATTCCCCAGCAGTGGCAATGAGGTAGCAGATATTCCCCTGGAGACTCGACAATGCAAGCGGGCAAGTGTCCGCTTTGGGGGGGAAGGGGGGGGCGTGGAGAGGGAGCTCAGAGATATGTCCATGGCAGTGGTTTGTTTAATTACTAAGTGTAAGTTGAATGTGAGAACTGTAGCAAAAATGCTGCTTCAGCTTTCCTTTGTCATTCATTGTTTACATTAGTGAAACTTGTTTGTCTTAGAAAATGTTGCATGTTTTCTTTCTGGCTCCATAGAGTTCCAAAAGCTTGAACAATGTGTGCTGTAGGTGGGAGACCATTTAGTTCGCCTTCCTCCTTCACTAGTTTTTTATTAATTCTCATTATTTGAAATAAGTCACCAAGAAGAACGATTAAGAAATGTGATAGCATTCAGTTTAGTGACTAATCTCTCTAAATTTGCAGAAAGGTGGAGGAGGAAGAGAGTGGAGGAAAGGGAAAGTTAGTAACAGGCATGATGGGGTTGAATTTTTAGGGTTTTCTGACTAATATACTTAAGACCCTGCTGGCTTTTGACTTTAGTGTGTCATGTCATTGTCTTTCAATGTACATATATCAATTTGTTTTGGTTATTGATAAATTCATTTAATAAAACACAGTATAGTATGACATTTAAAGGAGAAGCACCAAAATAAGGTGGAATTATACTTTTGGATGCTTATTTTGGTTATTCTGTTGAATCTAGCAGACATTTATTAAGCACCCACTATGTGTCAGGTGATGGGGAGCCAAAACAAAGGGAAAAACAGACCCTGGACTCGAGGTTTAATTACATTTTATTGAGTCGGAAGCAGTGTGACCATTCAAAATTACATTGAAGAAATATATACAGACTGATTTGTGGTGTCTATGGGGAAGGTGTGCTAAAACAGGGAGGACTTTATGGAGGGCAGAATTTAGCTGAGAAGCCAGTGGTTGTAAAAGCTAGAGGTAAGGAGGAAAATTAATTTTGGCATGGAGGGAGGTCTCTACAAAGATACCAAAGCAGTAGTTGAAATGCTGTGTACAGGAAACAGTAAATAGGAATAGAGTGTGGATGGGCGGCAGAGACGAGGAATCGCCCTTTAAAGATTATGTCTGGTCCCACCTTCTCATATCTGTCTGGCAGATCTGATAACATCCATGTATAGAGAAAAAAGCTGTTCCTATTTTATAGGGTATCCACTTTAATTTTTTCTCATGTGTCATTTTCTTCTCCTTGACTGGCTTTAGACTCAAGTCAGTCTGTTATGTCAAGAAGGGGCCAGTTATTATTAACAAATAGCATGTAATACATACATAGTTTGCCTGACATATATTAAGATATATTAGTATTGTCTACATCTCTGGAAAAAGTGAAAAACAGGAAATATGATATGCTTTTAAATTTATGCAGTGTCAGATTTCTTTATATTTAAATATAGTACTCAAAAAGTTCTTCCTTTTATTTAAAACAGTAAGTTGTATATCCTAAATAAGAAAAGTGGAGATTAATATACCCAAGAGGAAGGTGGCATGTAGGATTTGGTGGGAAACTTTTTTCAAAACCATTTTTTAAAATGCTAAGGCCAGTACTTTTTAAGTGAGTCCTTTCTCTGTCATTCCCCTTCATACTTAAATCTAAAAGAGTAATTGGTTCAGATAATTAGCTTTGATCCTGTGGTTAGTTTTCTAGTTGAATGAAGCAGATGAAGTGTCTTGTTTAAACTACTAAATTAATAGCCAAATGAGAGCCTGATTATATACATACAATCTATTGTGTATCTGATGATGGGACTGTGTGTCATAAGAGGACCAGCCTAGTTAAGTTTGAAGAAGCTAGTTACCAGAAGTTTGGCCATTAGGTGATGAATATTTTTGGCCCCAGTGGCTCATGGAAGACAAACTACAAAGGCATGGATGGGTTGTGATCGGAATCATTGTACTTAATGGATGAAACCCAAAGTCTTGAAGTATTGAAGAACAGCCAAATAATAACAGGAATGTTTCCCTTAATGTTCATTCTCAGTTAAACATCTTTCCAGCTTAGAAATGCATTTAACAAGTAAGAATAGCTCATCTAACTGAAATTACATTAATTTTGTGTATGTATTTTAGATTTGCCTACTGGTTGGGAAGAAGCATATACTTTTGAAGGAGCAAGATACTATATAAAGTAAGTTGTTTATGTTCCAACACTTCATATTGGTGTTTTGATTATTGTCATTAATGTATTTTATTGTATGTTTAGATCTACAATAAGATAATATTTTTAGTTCATTCTGTATCATGTATTCTATTGGAATTTGAACAAAGCAAGACTGTTGAGCTGTTCTATAAAATTACCTGACTGAAAAAAAAGTAAAATAAAATTACCTGACTGGTATCTTATTGAATTGGAAATGTGGCAGTTCAAATGTTCTTTTCAGAGCCAGACAGAAAAAAAAAAACCATGGATTTTAGATTAGATGGATGAAATATCTAAAGTATAAATTATTGCATTTAGAATTTGGTTGGTTCTGTTGATATCATTGAGGGCACATCTATCTATGGGAATGGATCATTCATTCCACAAATAATGCCCCACCCCCATGTTTTGGGTTTTTGGGTTTTTTTTTTAATTTAAAGCAAAAGTGATCAATTTGAACTTATTTCCCAGGCTTGTCATGAAGGTAATGATGAGCCGTGAACAGTCTCAGTAAGAGGGTAAAAGGTAGAATGAGGGGCAGCATGAGGGTATATTTTAGTGGTGTCAAGCTCATAGAAAAGGGCCTTTAGAAACCACATATTAACATTATTTTTTTGGTCTATTTATCTTAATTTGTTTTGTTAAATATTTTCCAGTTACATTTAAATTTCTCTCCCCTATTCTGGTGTAATGGATAGAGGGCCAGCTCTGATTCTGAGATGACCTGGGTTCAAGTCCTTTCTCTGACACATACTAGCTGTTTGACCTTGGGCAAGTTACTTAATCATCAAGCCTTCCTTAACTTGAATTACTGTAATTTAACCTCTCAAAGCCCCAGGCACCTCTGTAAGACTCTTAAGTTATAGATTTGTGTGATGAGGTGCAACACCTGGTTCCCTATTCCAACAAATAATCATTCTGGACCCAAAAAACCCTCAAAACCCAAGGAAGGGAACTATCTGGATATTTTACAAAATTGAATGATTGAGAATTGTTTGCTCCTTTGTAAAGTTTTATGTTTTATTTATTTAAATAAAAGGATAAGATTCGGAAAGGTGAATAGTCGTGCCATTAAAACCCATTTGTCCAAGCATAAAATTATTCTTTCCCTTAATCTTTCAACTAATTTTAGTTAATCATGAGTTCAGTAATTGTTGGGATGACTACGATACTTGAAGTTTGGGGTTTGTTTTTTTAATTCAAGACCAAAATTAACTAGAGTGTCCTCCTTTTAAATTGACTCTCATAATCAGCAGATCTTGTTAAGAGTTTTGCAATTAGCTATATAACTTTACCATGATAGTTTCATGAACTTTATTCTTGTTGTACCACAACTTGGCAAAAATGGAGAACTTTTATTACTTTTAAGTGTCTTTGAACTTTTCAGAACATAATTATATATAGATGTCAGATGGCATCTATTGTGTGAATTATTAAGAATGCTTGCTTTTGTTGGAGTGGGTGGGAATGGGATGAAAAATAAGGTAAGGTAGAAAGCAAGTTGATAAATTAGTCATGCTCTGGTATTTTCTCTCCTTTTACAAATTCGGGAAGTGGTATTACAAATGAATTCATGGTGGGGGAAAATGCACTATATCTCATCATTATTGACTCAAGAAGTAATAGTAACAAAGGAGTGCACAATTTCTATATTGTTTCCTAGTGCTGGTTTCAAGTAATGTTAAAATGAGTATGTTGACATGGAAAGGAATGCTGAATTTCTTTTGTATACTACTTTTAAGTGAGGATCTTAATATGTCTGGTGAAAGAATACATTTTTATTTTCCAGAAGTTTATGTGGTAGCAACCACTATATTTTGGTCACAATATAATATATTATATAATATAATAAATAATATAATATAATATAGTAAATCATAGATTTGGTCCTGGAAGGAACCTTATACATCATCTAGTTCATCTGTTTCATTTTATGAATGAAGAAACAGAGGGCCACCAGGGAAGTGGTATAACTTGCTCACACAGGTAGTAATTGGCAAGGCCAGGATTCAAACTTGGGTTCTCTAATTCCATATAGGAAGAAAAGAATAAAACAAGCATTTACGAAGCACCTACTATGTACTAGGCACTGTACAAATATTATCTCTCTTAATCCTCACAACTCTAGGAAATTGTGCTATTGTACTATTGTTATCCCCATTTTGCAGTTGAGAAAACTGAAGCAGGCTGATATTTAAGTGACAGCTGGCATTGTCTGAGGCGGAAATTGAACTCAGGTTTACCTACCTGAAATTTTAAAGAATGATAGTTGTATTAGAACCCCCAATCTATTATTTTAATGTTTTTAAACATTGACATTTTAAAATAACTATATGAAAATATAATGCAGTTATTATTGATCAATGTAATTGAATAGATATATTTAGAAAATTGTAATATTTTAAATTGACAATTTGGTATAGTAGAAAGTGGCTGTTACTGGTCTGGGTTAGAGTTGCCTAACAAGGGTTGGTAAGAATGTATTGCTGAAGTGTCTTGCAAATCCAACCAAATGAGCTCTAAAATGGAAAGGAAAGGGAAGGCGGGGAGGGGAACGCATCATATCCCAAGTTAGAAAAATACCACAGTGTAGAAGAATCGCTATAGAGGCACTTAAGATATTCACAAGGGAAAAAATTCCAAAAGGAAGCCAATAAGATGACTGTGGCTTTCCATACACAAGCATGAGCAACCAATAAGATAAACCAGAGACAGACACAAGGAGGCACATTTAAGGACTCGGACTGCTACTTGGGGTAGTTGGCATGCAGTAGAGAAAAAGCAAAGATGCTTCTGAAGGAGGAGAGATCCAAAAAATATCATTAGAGAAATATATGTTGAAAAGAAATGGGCTGTTCGTGGAGTGAGAGAGAAAGTGGTATAACTGGACAGATTGGACACTCTATTGTTATCCTGCAATGTCAAGAGAACATTAGAAAGGCCTTCAGAATATTCACTGGGGGCCTGAACTGTTAAAAGCCTATGGCAGGAGGTGAACTAGAGTCGTCATACTGGATGGGCAAGCTGGAATGATGTGTAGTCTGCATTGTTGGAGGGGGGAATACCCATATTGATGATTCATTGGAGTGTTGGAGAATTTTTCTCTGTTAAGGAGAATGTTCTTAGATTTAGAAATGACAAAACAATAGTGGCTAATGGGAAGTTGATACTCAGACTGAGGAGATAGTAAGAAAACGTAAGATTGTTGTTGATAAATTCAGATCACCAGATCTCATTTATATACATCCAAGGGTGCTGAAGGAACTGGTAGATTTGACTACCAAGCCACTGTACCTGATCTTTGAAAGAAGGAAAGGTTTGAGAGGATTGGAGAAAGATAAATGCCCTGATTTTTTTTTTTTAAGGGGAGAAAATGGCATAAGCAAGTAAGCTTAACTTGAATTTCTGGTAAACTTCTGGAATATAGAAACAGTAAGTGAACCTTGGAAAAGGAATTAGTGAGTCAGTCTGAATTCAGTTCCTGGTACAGTGGCCACTAAAAGCCAGCCTGGCTTCATCAAGAACAGATTATGCCATCCTAAATTTATTTCCCCTTTTTTTTTTTTTTTGATGAGTAAGTAAGGGACATAGGGATATGATAGTTTACATTTATATCATGCTTTAAGGTTTGTGAAATGCTTTCACTATGTTATCTCACTTGGTACTCAAAGCACCTTTGTGAGGTACTATCCCCATTTTACAAATGAGACCGAGGATCACTGATTAAATTCCTTACCCCAGGATCACATAGGGCTCTTTCTATGGTGCCATATTGACTCTTGATGTGCTCTAGAATTCAGGGGTAGGGAACCTGCAGCCTCGAGGCCCTCTAGGTCCTCAAGTGCGGCCCTTTGACTGAATCCAAACTTCACATAACAGAACCTTTTACTAAGAGTACCTAGAGGGCCACGTGTGGCCTCGAGGCCGAAGGTTTCCTAACCCTGCTTTAGATGAAGGTTTCTCAAATGGATTTGTAATTTCATCAATTGAGGAGTTCCCCCTAGTGGTGCAGATTGCAGCCTTAGCATTACCTGCCCATCCTATGTGTCCATTCTTTCAAAACTTTTAGGGCAGCTAGGTGGTGCAGTGGATAGAGCAGTGGCCCTACAGTCAGGAGGACCTGAGTTCAAATCTGGCCTCGAACACATAACACTCACTAGCTCTGTGATCCTGGGCAAGTCACTGAACCCCATTGCCTAGCCAAAAAAAAGAAAAAAGTTTCACCAAAGAAAAGTTAATGCTTAAAAATAAATGCCTTATCTTAAAGATAAATATTTAATGCTTTATTTTCTTGGCAGAGAATAATTACATATAAAGTCTCCAAATCTATTCATTCCATTTTGATGTTACTATACAGTTCAGGTTCCATTTACATGAAATAGTTTCCCCTCACAATGGAGTACCCTTTACTTTTAATTTCTCTGATGTGTCTTTAGAAAAGAAAATTATTGTTAAAACAATTTTTATTATAAGAGAGTATTGCAACTTGTGTATAGCTTTAAATATTCTGTATTCTTGTTCTTGGTCATATGACTTGGCTTAAATTGTAGAAGCTAATCCATCATGTTTGAAATTAACAAAGCATTTGGAAATACTGCTTACTTATGAAAAAGGCTGCTTATTCATCCTATAATGACTGGTCGTTTAATGTGTCATGATGTATCAGCCAATCTCCTTTTGTGCATCATGGCTTTGACATAGTTAACTGAGAGCACCAGAAATATCTCAAAAGTACTCTCAGAAGTTGTAATGAACAACAATTGGTAGAATAAGATAGCACTATGCAAATTGTTTAATTGAACATTAATACTGATGCTTTCTTCAACATAAAGTTAAAATTTTATAAAATGATAATAAGGCAGCATTTTGCTTTTATATAAGGTTTCATCTCAACGTAACTACGTAACTACACTGAAATATAACTCCAGTTTAATGTTTAGATTTCAAACTACCATGTCACTAGTTTTAAAGGTGATAAAGTGTTTTAG